TTTTTTTTTTCCAGTGATTCCTGACCCATTCTCTTGTTTTACTCCACAGCAATGGCAAACTGTTGGCAGTGGTTCAAGATCAGTGTGTGGAAATTAGGTAATTACTGAACTCTGTCTCTCTCTTTGAGGCTGTGTGTCTGTGTTTGTGTGTGTGTGTGTGTGAGTGATAGTCTTAATTAAGGGGGTGATTTATCACATCTCGCTTTAACAAAGAAGTCCAATGTCAGCTTGCATTTAAAAGATGAAAACTGTGTTTCGAGCATCAGTACAGTCAGTAAGAGTGTAATCCATCACAGGAAAATATTTGAATCAGTTTAGTGTACTTTTGTAGCACCCGTCTGAAAAAGTTCAAGCTAACAATGAAAACACCAATGCTTCCCTTTTCATTTGTGGGTGTATAAGGAAAGCGATCAAAACATACACGCGCATGAATATCTGTGTGTTCTTTTTCAGTGCTTGTAATTATTTCCTGACATAAATCCAATTTCCCCGTGTGCAGAAAAAATGCACTCAGTCAGCAGTGTGCTTCACTGACATAATGTAGGTCTTTAAAATGAGCAAAATTTCAAAATGAAAATCTATAGCTGTGAACTAGATATATTAGGATGCCTTACTCTCTGGAGACTAATGGTACACTCATTGTAAAGCGTTTGCTCCACGTGACCCTTTGAGTAATTGGAAGGCGGTTTCATACATGGAGCAATTATGAAAAAGCTGAATGTTTCTGTTTCTCAGAATGCTCAAATTTAAATGTAGTTGACCTTTTATGATCACGAGCAGTCAGGTCTCTTCACTTTTGCCTCTGCTTGATAGCGTGGGCTACTCTTTTGTCCTTTTTTCACGCTGTTGTTGTTTAATCACAACGTTTTATAGCTGCGCTTCATGGCATGAATTGAGGTGCGTGAGTGGGTGTTAAGTCAGCTCAAGGCCTTATCCCCTGAGCTCCTTTAAGAGTCTGTCGAAACACTGCCTACCCCCACTTGTCTGCTTGATCTATTGAGCTACTTTAGTTGGCAGGCCGTCAGTGGCTGTTATAACCCAACTTATACCAGTTCGTATAAGAAGTGTATCAATGTCTCACTGTGCAATGCCACCTCTCCTTACTTTTTTTTTTCTGTGTGTGCACGTTTCCTCCTCAGGTCTGTGAGAGATGACTTTGGCTCACTCATTGGGAAGTGCCAGGGTAAGACCTTGTCCCTGTGTATTATCAGTCACATGCTTGTTCCTGGTAAATGACGACTAAATCGCCATAACTCACTTCACTAAGCAATCCGTTTGTTTTATAAATGATGACGGGGGTTACAGTACAGTACAGTGTGTGTGCCCTTGTACTCCTTTATGTGATATGTCAGATGCTTATTTAAGAGATATCTGGTTTGTGTGTGTGTTTTCATATACCATGTAGTGAACTACTCTAGAGTAGAAAAGATTGCAATTTTATTGTGTTAATGCCTTAAAGTCTAGAACTCAAAAATCCAACCTTTAGTTGCTTTATTGTTGTTTAATTTTGTATTTATTGTTCTGTTAGTCTGAGCGCAGGTGACTAACTCAGAAATAGAAAACATTTTTAAGGTCTCTGGTGGATAAACTATGCACCATCAGCACTCTCCTATCTCTTCTTTTCTTAAATTTTTTATCTCTTGGTCATAATAAATGCCAGAAGGAAAGAGTTGGTGAACATCTGCTTTAGTTCTTCTGTGGTTTATGAGCCCTTTTGGTGCTAGTTTTTAATAATGTAGGTTTATTTTGTGTTTTCAGCTTAATAATGGCGTCCTTAATTTGCATCAACATCCCATTGGACCTCATGTTGAGAGTTGAACAGCTATGAAATACAAGTTTAATAAGTGAACGCATTTGCCTGAATCTGAGCAAAGCATAAAAAAATCTTGAATCAACTCCAGACTTTTTATTTGCTTAATATTTCATAGCATAACAAGGGAACAGGCCTCACCTGGACATCAAACTGCTGGCTATAATTCAGTTAATGCAATACTTTAATAATCCTCCTTCAGTTAAAGCTGAAAGTCTGCACTTTGTTTGAGTTAAAATACACTCTAGTCTTGTACAAAGGCAAAATTGCAAGAATTGTTATTGCACAAATACTCAGGATTCTGATTGTGTATTAGAAATGGTATACACATCACAAGCCTTGCAGCTGACTGACAACCTGTCCAGTCTGCCACCCCATGATAGCTGGGATACGCTCCAGCCTCCCAATGACCCTGAACATACTGTTGGTTTCACATTAAGTTACTGGACTTATTAAATATCCTAGCTATACTGTTTTAGGATTAGGAATCCACCAAATAGCTACTGTGGCATCCATCTCTGATGTCAGTATGCCTCTGACAGCAGGCATTACACTAGTAGAATACAACCAGTGTGGCTAAATAATAAGCATTGTGTATTTACAGTGTAAATATAGCTGTTTTTAAGATAAGATAAGATAAGATGACCTTTATTAGTCCCACAGGTGGGAAATTTGTTTTGTTACAGCAAAAGTGCAAAGTTATGTAGCAGAAATTAGAAAACACTGGAATGCAATAAAATACAATAGAATAAAATAAAATACTATATACAATAGAATAAAATAGAATAGAATAATATATACAATAGAATAAAATAGAATAGAATAATATATACAATAGAATAAAATAGAAATACAAATACTATATACAACTGAGTAGGAAAATACAAAAATACAACTTCGCCAGAAGAAGAATTGCACAAGAATTGCACATATAGCAGTCTTATTGCACATGTGTGGGTTTGTGTGTTTGATCAGCTGCAAAAGTCTTTATTGTGGAGTCTGACAGCAGTGGGGAGGAAAGACCTGCGAAATCTCTCCGTCCCACACCGTGG